AAAAAAAAAAAAAAAAAAAAAAGCAATGGTAAACCCAGATTTCTATGGCTTAATCTCTATATATATAAAAAAAAAAATTTAATGTTGACAGCTTCAATTTTCCTTTCTCGGATCTGCAAAAAAAAAAATAAAATTGTGAACCAATTTGACAAAATCTTGTCTCCCTCAACCTCCAGAACCTTCCCCTCTGCAACAATCATTCTCCTTCCTCACATCTGTAGAAAAGCCAAAATTTTTATATTGAAAACTTCAATTTTCCTTCCTCAGATTTGTAACTTCTGGAATTTCAGTTGGACTTTTCCCTATTTTCTCCAAAAAAATTCAATTTCTTGATCAACTAAGTGTAAAATCTTTAATTATCGAATTGATTTAAGAAATTCTAAGTTTTCAGAAGATTACCGAAGGGGAGAGGGAGATCGAAGTTGCAGAGGTCGAGTAGAAATGACCGGAGCTTTGTTCTCAAGCAGGTAACAGTAGATCTGGACTGAATGTGACCGGAATCGAGAACAAAGAGCTGGAGATCAACAAGAAACAGATTTGAGCATTACCAACTGAACCGCCTTGAATCGCAGGGATCCGGTGCTGGAGATCAACTGTTACGGCTTCACTTGAACGGTAGATGAAACAAAAGGTACGGAGATTTATTTTGAGAGTACCAGAGGTGGCGAGGAAAAGGAGAGAAGAATCCAGAAGAGTTTTAGATTTCCAGGTTGCTTTCAAAGATACTTCAACGGGGATAGGGAGAAGTGAAACAAGAAGAAGATGATTATTTTTTTTTTTTTTTTTCTTACTGATGTGGAAAAGATTAAAAATGTCAAATCATCCAAAAAAAAGTCTTCGTATTTTTTCCACATCATTAGTTAAAACAATAGAAAATTGATTTTTTTTGTTTGGCAATCTAACGTTCCACCTGTAACTTTCGTCAGCGGAAGAACGAAATTGATATAAAAAATGAAAGTTTAAAGATGCTTTTGGTACATTTTAAAGTTTAGGGACAATTTCCATACTAAAATGAAAAGTTGAGGGACCAAAATAGTACTTTAAGCAAAAACAACCGTACATGGACTGTCTGCTGGTTTTAGTCATGGTTTGCCTTGCTCGGTTGGAGATTACGTTGTTCCAAAGGCTGGTTCAGCTGCAATCTATAAGTCTGGCTAGCTCCGATCCATAGACTCTCTGCTTTTATAAACTATTATACGTAAGATTGCGAGATGCATTTTCTGTTTGACTGCGGTTGGCTTATCTGCTTCTATTGTTCTCTAATTTTTTTTTTTCTTAAAGATTGTTTACACTAGCAGGTATATGGTTGCTACTTTGTTTTATGGTTACCATTTTAGTCTTTTCCAGGATTATTATTTTTAATTGCTAGGTTCTGCTGGTCGTGCTCTTTCTCGGAAAGTGTGATGAGATTATTTTATTGATATTTCCTTCCATTTCATTTTCATCTCATTTGGCTTTTGTAATCTGCTATTTGTACAAGTACCATCTTCAAGCATTAGTTGAAGATGAAATATAGGCTAAGCTTTGATTGTTGTTCTTGGAAAGACCTGTTTCTTCTCATGTGAGGAAGAGGGCTTGACTAGGGTTGGGTTTGGATCTTTTGGTAGCGGATGATCAAACCTTCATAGCATATTTTGGTTAATGGATTTTAAGTGAGTAATAATTATTATTAATTACTCCTTTATAATTATATTGTGTGCTTAATTTGCTTAGTATGTATATCAGAATATAGATTTTTGATGCTGTGAATGGTGTTCTATTGTGACAAGAAGAGGATGAGCTCTACTATGGCACATGCTAGCATTGCAAATGTAATTGTTATCTACCTCTTGGTTTTATACAGTTCTTTGAAATGGTCTCTCTATTGAATTAGCTTCAAAATGGTATGCAAGAAGCTCATGTTTAAATTGACTACTTTTAACTATACCAGACTATTGCTTAATATATCGTAAATGGCAAATGTCTTCCAAATATCAACAGCTTTATTTGACAGTCAGTTTTTGTAGTATAAATAATTGCTTCTACACCATCCCTTTGCCAACAGTAGTTATCCTATGTAGTAATTTATATCAATTAGCAGCAAATAAGCATACAATAACTAATTTAATTAGTCATGTGAAGATAAGCTTATCTTTTGGGGTTGTTAAATTCTGATGATAATGCACTCGATAAAGACTTTTCCTTCTAGATAAGAATGCTTTAAAATTTAATCTTTAGTCTTGAAATCAATAAAGAGTAAATTACGCTACAGATTGAGAAAAAAAAAATGTGCAAAGAGCATTGACGAGAGAGGGATGGACTAGATTTAAGCTAATGTTATTAAAATCAAATGTGTAAAGAGCATGGGAGATGGGGATGTACTAGATCTTAGCTAATGTTATAAAAATCGGCTTTTAGCCAAAGATTTATTGCAGTTTGCATTTTAATCTCTTTTATTTCACCCTATTATGTTTTTGCAGTGCTTAAGGTTAGACCATAAAATTATATCATATTTTTTTTTGGCTATATGCTGGTCTTATGTATGCCAGTGATGTGTGGTTTAGACTGATTATGTTAAGTAGACTGATTGGTCCTTACTCAATCTGCAGATGATATTATTGTCTAGATTTCTTGATCTGCAGGAGATAGTTGCTTTATTTGGTGCGCACACATTAGGGAGGTCAAGACCTGAAAAGAGTGGTTAGGGAAACCAGAGACAAAGTATATGGTAATATAATTGGTAATATAATAGCATCTATTCATCGTAAGTATGGAAACATGTGTCTACTGTCCATAACTTTTTAAACTGGAAAGCATCCTCAATTCTTTATTAAAATTGGATGACTCTGCTGCCAGTATTTTTTCTTCCATTCTTCCATAATTTGTAATCATTTATTGAAAACGCAAAAGTAGCTTTTTACAAAGTTGTTTTGGAGTAATTTGTTCTTTTTATTGAAGACATCTAAATGTGTAACAAATATGTGGGTTGGGGAGGAGGAGGTATAGCAAGGAGAGGGAATCAGCGATTGAAAGATATTGGCCTGGATTTGGTATTTGGTAATTTTGTAAATCTTGCAATTTTAGAGATCAAAATTATATTATTTCTCATAATTGCCCCTAAACCCCCTTCTTTTGTAAATTGTGGTTCTTTGGTTTGACGTATTTTCTGCTGACAGTAGAGAAATTGTAATGTATGCTGAGAGGTATGACAACTAGGTGGAAAAGAAAGGCATGAAGAAGATTGAAGGTAAATTGATTCTGAACTTAGTGAAGTCAGGGTCAATGATTGAGGCAAGACTTCTCCTTCAGTTTCTCTCATCTTATTGGGCTGCAATTGCACGTCCCATTTCTCCAACGACCTAGCGACATCGGTGGAAAAATGTGATCCAATCGAACTCCTGAAGCTGTTAAAAAGGTACTTGAATTCCATTTTGGTTTTCAAGTTTTTGCTTGATTTTCTAGGTATTTTTTATCCTCTATTTTTTGCATGTGGGTTTTGCAAAGATGAATGATTGGATGGTGAAATTGTTCTTAAATTATGTAGAATTAATGAAATTGGGTGTGATTGCTGGCCAAACCATTGTTACCATAAAAAAAGAGAAGGTCCAGAGTTGAATTTTGGTGTTGTTACTTTCTTAGTTCTCTGTATATGATCCTCCTCACGAGTTTGAATGTTCATCAATTCAGATCTAGAGGTTGGCCTTCCTTTTTCCCCTTTTCTAATCTGATATTTTCTTACTCCAGATCCTTTCTCATGTTTCTTCCAATTTCTTTATTTTCATGGCTAACTTGCATTTTAACGGCTGACAGCAGTTAGGCCGAGCCGTGGAGGTCTATAATGAAAGGATAAAGTACGACTCTTTGAGCTTATTTTTTGGGTGCTGATTTTGATTGATTGATTATTATTAATTTCAATAGAAAGGATAAAGTATGAATCTTGATTTAGTCATTGGATTTGGGTTTGGATTCTCACTTGAGAAATGAACTAAATGTTGACAGTAGGAAAGTGGGTTGGTTTTAATATTGCTTTTTGTTTTGGATGTGGATTTGGGTTTTAGGATTTTTTCTAGGGGATGGATAAAAGCTTGCTCCTTTGATAAGTTCTGTAGCCAAATGGTTATGTTTCTGGATATTTTTCTTCCCTGCATATTTGACTCTTAACTAGAAGGTATGGGAGTTGTGATTTGTTTAATGTAGAAAAGTGGTGATTTTTTAGCTGCATTTTGTATGTGTCAAGGCAATTGGCGCTGAGATTCATCAGAACCAAGAAATGAGAGGGAGAAAGGTAGTATATAAATGAGGAATAGTCAAAGATAACCACCTACATAAAAGCTTTATGGAGATATGTTTAGGATTTACAAACTAATAGAAAATATTCTCATGAATCAGAATAAAAAAATATATTATCAATTTGTATTCATCTAGTGAGCGATTAATTTTTTTTTTTTTATTAAGACCCATCTATCCTATTTAGAAATAAGAATTCTTCCATTCATCTTAACCAGTCCAGTTTTGTGTTCGTTGAGGACTTCAGGATCGATGACAATGACTGTCAGAATGGAGGTGAAGAGTCTAAATGCAATAAGGATCGCTCTTGAGAATCTCAAAGACTAGCTCAATTTTTTTTTCATGTGAGCTTTTTTTTAATCTTTTCCTCTACTTCTAGAGTTTGCTTGCTGTTTTACTTTGTTTTCATTTGGTCCTATTTGATTGATGAGAAAATGATGGAAAATTTCCATGGAAAGTGCATCTTAATGCTTAAGTCAGTTTGGTTAATTTTGGAAAGTAATAATAATTATGTATTAGGCACGGGTTATTGTAAACCTTTTTTCTTCCACTGATAGCCCATTTGGAGCACCGGAGAAGACGTGGGATGGGACAAAATTTATGTCCTGTACAGCTATGTCTCATGTTTGGGGTGGCCTTGGGATGAGATAACTGCTATCTAATGTTTTATCTTATCCTGAGTTTTATGTTAAAAGTAATCTCACCTACCCCATGGGATTACTTATTGTCAATTAGTTTAAGTTAGATGCAAGTTTTGTATTGAAATCTACAAGCACAATTTTCACGAGATTGGACAAAGTACAAACAATAACAAATCCAAGAATCATGTTAACCTTAATAAAAAAAAGGTAGCCAACATCCCTCCAAGGTTTAGCAAGAAGATAAATGTCTTGAAATAGGTAGATTCAAAATTGTTTCGTTTTGAAGTTAAAATCAAAATAATAGTGCAATAAAGTGGCAGCATAGCATTAGTGTGGCTATTGGAGATAAATTTTAGAGTGTACAAGATAATAAAATAAAATAAAATGTCTATAGGATCAAAAGACTTATTTTATATATAAATTCCCAAGCTCAAGATTAGTACAAATAGATTGAAAATTTGCAGAGCCAGCCATAGTTTTTGGTAGATGTAGATTTGCCTTATTGATTATTTGGATGCACTACTCATTGTTAGCACCAAACATCTACCAAAAGTCTTAAGAAACAACAACTATTTCTCAATGAGTTCACAACCTAGTAAGCATAATTCTTAACAATAAGTTAAGCTCATAATCTTTACTTAGTTTATAATGCAGAAAAGTACCATTAGTTTGTAATAGTACTAGTATTATTAATAATTTAGACAATAAGTCATAGAACAATCACACAACATAGCTCATCAAACAAAATTAACACTGATTATGGAGTCCATTGAATGTGTATGCACTCACATTAGGTGCCATAGCTATTTATAGCACTTATTTGCTATGCAGAGATCCACTAGTTTATTGTTCTAACTCCTAAGCTTAAGCTGGAGTCCAAACTCTCCATAGTTCTCAAGAAATTATACCATAAAAATATACACCATATAGAAACATGCATCACATGTTCAACAATTAATATAGGCTATAGAACCATGAAGAAAATATGCATATCATGAAAATTTCAAAATTTAACTTATTCAGATGTAGTGAATCTTAATTCGAGACCTTAATGGTCTAATTTAAATCTCATTTTTATTGTTCCCACAATTAATTTTACTAAGAAATTGACTTTAATGCAGGTTATTCTAATTAAAGCATACTTTTTTTACTTATTGTAGTCTCTATGTTATTCTTTACCTTACCCCGGTCTCTTGACCCATTTACCTCACCCCGATCTCTTGACCCTTTTACCTTTACTTGAGTCCCTAGACCCCTTTTCTTTACTTTGAGTCTTACATCGCCATGAACTCTTTCCCACTTTGAGTCTTCCCCACTTTGAGTCATGCATTCGTAAAAAAAAAAAAAATAATAATAATAATAAAATAAAGTAAAATAAAATTGACAGTGCATTTTTCTTTTAAGTCATAAAATAGTGAACATTTATCGCATTTTTAAATTGTCTCATAGAACACTTTCTTCTTTAAGTCATGCTATAGAGTACTCTCATTTCATATGCACCTTCAAAATTTTGAGTTACCCTTTTTCTTTTATCTTCATCCCCAACGGAAAGAAAAGAAAAAGGAGGTAATTGTTATCACTCAAATTTTTATCGAAAGAAAAATATATTTAATTGCATAATGAGTAAATTAAATTTTGTCTTAAAATTATTTTATTTAGCCTTACTTTTTGTGTTTTAGGGCTCCATCGTGAAAATGAATGAAGTTTGGGTTGGAATTTTGAAGGAAAATAGAAAAATTAAACTTACGTGAAGAAATTTGTAAAAAGAGGAATCAAATGTGAAAAAAAAAAAAAAAAAAAGGAAAAACCATTTTCCTATTTAGGGCTTGATTGCATTCAATCTCAATCCCAACTCATACTCCAGGCCCATAAAAATTAAATAGGTTAAATATCTTTTTTGATTCCTTTACTATGGAAAAAGGTCCTTTTTGGTCTTTATATTGAAAAAATTCCCTTTTAATCTCTAAAGTTTAAAATCCGATTTTTTTTTGGTTCCTTTATTAAATTTTTGCTGATCTGTCATATTAATTAACGGAATCACTTGATTATTTTTTAAATTATATTATAATTGATGTGGAAATTAGATGGATAAAATTATAAATCTATATATGTATTTTATCTGAATATTTTGGGTCACCTATACAAATTAAAAATTTTACTTCTTAATTCATGAATTAAATGAATTTAAATAGAATTAACTTTAATTTCTTCATCTTCTTCTTTCCTCAAAGAACCCAGCTTCTTGGTTTCACGAGATCCAGTTGCTGGGTTCTGACCCTCTTTTTTATTTTATTTTATTTTATTTTGAATGTATCTATCTTCTATAAAGGAGCCAAATGAAACCAAAGTTTCATGTTCGGTTTTGAATTAAAGACATTGAGTTTTGGGTTCATTATGAAACCAAGATCGTATTTGATATTTGGGTTTGAAATTGTAGGTGATAGGTTCATCTTGTTGTGTTCATGTTGCTATTAACTTCATAACTT